AAGGCTCCTTCGGCACGAGGCCTCCGGAAAACGGGAAGTCGCAAGCACGCCCGCTACCGTCTCCCGCAGGCCGACGAAACTGAATCCCCCAGTTCGATCTTCGAATCTCCGCCTCGTTTAGCCTCTTAACGGTTTCACGTTCTCGTTGAAACTCTCTCTACAGGGTTCTGTTTCAACTTCCCTCACGGTACTTGTTCGCTATCGGTCTCGTGGTCATATTTAGCCTTAGATGGAGTTTACCAACCTGCTTTAGGTTGCGGTTTCAGGCAACCCGACTCTAAGGAGAGGCCCGTTCCGCACTCCCGAAACCCCCCTCCCGCGAACGAGGAGGAGGAAGTCTCTTTCCGCCACACGGGCCTGACACCCTCCCTGGTGTATGAGAGTCATTCATGAACAACTTAGGCGCTCGCCGGAGCGCGTGCAGGACCTCTCCCGAACGCAGCACCCCTCGAGCCCCCCGCGAAGGGGAACGCGAGGCTTTGCGCTGGGCCTTCTTCCCGTTTCGGTCGCACTTACTCAGGGAATCCCCGGTTGGTTTTCTTTTCCTCCGCTGATTAATATGGCTTAAATTAGGCGGGTCATCTCCCTCCACTCGAGGTCGACGAGATGTGCAAGGAATGGAATCTCTTTGCTCCCTTTGTGGTATAACAAGCTGGGCTCAATTTCGCTCTCGTTCAATCTGGCTTTTTCTCTTTCTTTCTTTCTTTCCTTCCTCGCCCTGTCTGCCCACCAAGAGGGCCCGAGACTCCACGTTGGCTTTTTCAGGCGCGGAGAGGTCCCGTGCGCGCTCTCTAGCGCTCTCAGGATGCGCCCTTGCCCCTCCAAGCACGGCCGAGCCGCCCGCTTTGCCCCCCAACCGAACGTTCCCCTGGGGGTACGGGCAAGGGGGGCAGGCAGCGAGCACGCGGGACTGGCCGGCTGGTTTGGTCGGCTTCGGGGGAGCGCCTCTCCGGCCTTACGGCACGTTAATCCCACACTGGGGCCCAATGGCTGGCAGGCAGGCATGGCCGGCGCGGGGGGCCAGGGGGAGGACTGGCCATCCGCGCCAACAGCGACGGAAGAGAGAGCAAACCCTCCACGTCTTCAGGGAACGTCCGGACGCGGGACCTGCGTCCCTCCAGGTCCGGCGAACTCCCCAGGGCGGAATCGTTGGCGCGAGGGGCAGCAGCAGCAGCAGCCACACGTGCCGCCATAGCCGCCGCCCCCGAACCTCCGGCACGGTCGAGGATAAAGGCCTCGCCGTTGGTGCTTTTGCGGAACCCGCCCGGCCCGGGGCCGCTGCTCGACCTCCTCAGCCCACTACTCGTCACCAGCCCGCCAGCCAGACCCGGTCCCCCCCTTCCAGGAGGGAACAAACAGGGAGGCAGGGAGGGAGAGAGGTAGGGAGAAAGGAGAGCGGCCGGAAAGAAGGGGGGGGGGGGGGGGAACCAAACACGGCGCTGTTTCGCCTCACTCTCAAGAGATTCTCGTAGCGGCCTTCCCGGAGAACGGGCGGGGGCTGGCTGCTGTTGAGCACATATCCCCCGCAGCCGTCCGTACTGTGTCCCGGGAGGCAACGTCACGACACTCGAGGGAAGGTGGCAGCCGTCCTTCGAAGAAGGCACAGGGCCGCCGCAATGTGCGTTCGACACGTCGATGGAATCACGGGAGAATTGCGATAGCCACCAAAACTTCGCTTCTTGCCGCGGTCTTCCTCGACCCACGAGCCAAGTGATCCCCCGTTAAGAGTCTTTGCTGGGTTTCAACACTTGTGTGTGTCTCGCCTCCCACTCAATGAGGCCTCAAAGGGGAGGAGAACCTGCGCCCTGAGAAAACGCGTAGCCCACGGCGCCAAACACCCTCACAGGCTCACAAAGCTGCTGGGCCCGGCGCCGTCGCTCACCTCGTAGGCCCCGGTGACCCAGGCGGGGCTGACAAAGACTTTTGGGTTCGGCCTCCTCCCATATCCCCGGAGAGGGGGGGAGAGAAGAGGCCGGGGAGCCGTGCCGAGAGCCCCCCGTGGATGGGACGCAAGCCAGCCAGCCAGCCAGCCAGCGCGACCGGGAGATGGAGGAGGAGGAGGAGGAGGAACAACGACGGGCAGCCCAATGGCTGCACGGTGTCGCGCGCCCCAAAACCCCCCACCCCCCAAACCTCGCCTGGTCGGCTGGCTCGCTCGCTCGCTCGCGCCCGTTGACACGTCGTTCGAGTTGAACAGGAACAGAGAGATGCCTCTTTCGGCAGCGGCGGCGGCGGCGGCGGCGGCGGCCGCGGCTCCTCCTCCGCCGATGGCAGTGGTGGTGCCGCTGCTGCTGCTGCTGCTGCTGCTGCACTGATGCTGCTTCTTGGGTAGCACTGCTCGTTAATGATCCTTCCGCAGGTTCACCTACGGAAACCTTGTTACGACTTTTACTTCCTCTAAATGACCCAGCTTGGACACCTTTCCGTCGACCCGAGGGCGCTGCCCGCCGAGGCGGTAGCGGCTCCAAGGGCGCCAGTCCGGTGCCCTCACTAGACCATTCAATCGGTAGTAGCGACGGGCGGTGTGTACAAAGGGCAGGGACTAAATCGGCGCAATCTGGTGAATTGCGCCTACTGGGAATTCCTCGTTCATGGGGAACATTTGCAAGCCCCAATCCCCTTTAAGGACAGCTTTCACGAGGTTACCCGCTCCTCTCGGAGCAGGGACAGCTCGCTGAACTCTCCATTGTAGCGCGCGTGCGGCCCAGAACATCTAAGGGCATCACAGACCTGTTATGGCTCAAACTCTCGTGCGGCTAGTATATTTTTTGCTGCCGCTTATCCCTCTAAGAAGAAGACTGCGAAGCGGACGCCAGTTTCCGGCGCCGCGGGGCGCGCCGCCGGCGGCGCTAACCGACCGACGGTGGAGGCCCGCACGACGACCGGGTTTCGGGGAACCCGCGCCCCGCATCGCCGCGAACGACAACGGGGGCAACGGGGTTGAGATCCGTCGACTATTTAGCAGGCTAGAGTCTCGTTCGTTATCGGAATTAACCAGACAGATCACTCCACCAACTAAGAACGGCCATGCACCACCACCCACCGAATCGAGAAAGAGCCTTCATTCTGTCAATCCTTCCGGTGTCCTGGCCTGGTGAGTTTCCCCGTGTTGAGTCAAATTGAGCCGCAGGCTCCACTCCTGGTGGTGCCCTTCCGTCAATTCCTTTAAGTTTCAGCTTTGCAACCATACTTCCCCCGGAACTCAAAGACTTTGGTTTCCCGGAAGCTACCCGCCGGGTCATGGGAATAACTGCGGCGGATCGCTAGTCAGCATCGTTTAAGGTTAGAACTAGGGCGGTATCTGATCGCCTTCGAACCTCTAACTTTCGTTCTTGATCAATGAAAACATCCTTGGCAGATGCTTTCGCAGTAGGTCGTCATGCGACGGTCTAAGAATTTCACCTCTAGCGTCGCAGTACGAATGCCCCCGTCTGCTTCTATTAATCATTACCTCGGGTTCCGAAAAACCGACAAAATAGAACCGAGGTCCTGTTCCATCATTCCATGCACGACCATTCGGGCTGTAAGCAAAAACCAGCCTGCTCTGAGCACTCTAATTTTTTCAAAGTAAACGTGCCGGCCACAAGGGGACACCCGGTTAAGGGCATAAAAACCCCATGTGCGCCGGCGGGGACACAGCTCGGAACCCGGCAGTAGCCGCCGCTAAGGCGGACCGCCGGTCCGGAGCAGAAGTCAAACTACGAGCGTTTCAACCGCAACAACTTTAATATACGCTAGTGGAGCTGGAATTACCGCGGCGGCTGGCACCAGACTTGCCCTCCACTCGATCCTCGTACAAGGATTTAAAGTGTACTCATTCCAATTGCGAGGCCCCGTTCGGGGCTCGCAACAGTATTTTTCGTCACTACCTCCCCGTGCCGGGAGTGGGTAATTTGCGCGCCTGCTGCCTTCCTTAGATGTGGTAGCCGTTTCTCAGGCTCCCTCTCCGGAATCGAACCCTGATTCCCCGTTACCCGTGATAGCCATTGTAGGCGTTTAACCTACAATCGAGAGCTGATAAGGCAGACGCCTGCAGGACGCGGCGCCGACCCAACCCGGGTTACGGAGGGGTCGTGCGCTCGGCAAAAGTTATTCTGATTCACCAAGATGTGTGCGGCCGGCCCCTTGCGGGAACCGGCTGCCGAGGGTTTTGGTCTAATAAAAGCGCTCCTCCCTCGCGGTCGGAGACTACAAAGGCATGTATTAGCTCTAGAATTACCACAGTTATCCAAGTAATGCGGTTCAGCAGAGATCCAATGAGTTATATCTGATTTAATGAGCCGTCCGCGGTTTCGCCTTAAGTCGGCCTGTACTTACACATGCATGGCTTAATCTTTGAGACAAGCATATGACTACTGGCAGGATCAACCAGGTAGAAGCAACAACGCACACTAGCGTGGTCGTCGTCGTCGTCGTCATATGAACAACGGTTATTGTTACTTTGGCTTTTCACATGGCAAAAACCCCCCCGGAAACGCCCAACGACGACTCTCGCCCCGCTCTCCCGCTGCTGCGGCCATGAGGCCACACCAGGAAGGAATGGGGACGAAGGAGGAGGGGGAGGGCATTTCAAATAAAGGGGGGGCCGCACTCTTTTCGATGGCTGGTTGTTGGGGGTCGTTTCTCTCTCGACTCGCTCAGGGTGCGCCGCACACAGGGGAGGGAGACGACAGCGTCGCCGGACCAGAACAACGGCCGCGGCGAGCTCCCTCCCGGGCGCGAGCCCTTTTTCTTTCTGTCGCCATCGTGGTCGTGCAGCGACGGGGAGGACAGGGGGGGGGGGGGTGAAGGGGGGAGAGGGGCAAGGCGCAGGCAGGCCAGCCAGCCAGCCAGCCAGCCAGCCGGGGTACAGGCGGGCTGCCAAGGCAGTGGGGCACAGGCTCACAGCTGTCAGGGCTGCTCACCCACGCCTGCCTCCGGCAGTCCCGCTCCGCACCCTTGAGCTGTGCAACAAGGCTAGCCACGCCTTTGCTCACCGCCTGCCTCTCCGCCTTCTCCTTCTCCTCCTCCTCCTCTTTCCACCGTTCTCCGTCGCAGCAACGGGCCGCAGACAAAACAACATACGACTCCCCCGAAGAACGCCACACGCAATGGGGCCCTGGCCGCAACTCGCGCTGCAAGGCTCGGCTCCGGGCATGCATGCATGCACAAACGGGAGCCGGCAGGAGGCGAGCAGCGAGCCAAGCCCGTGGCAAGGGGGAGGGGAGTACGTAGTACTCTCGCTGGCCCAGTCTCCTTTTCAACCTGCCTCACCCGAGGGCTCCGCAGGAGGAGGGGCGTGGGATTGCCGGGGGTTTCTTCCTTTCTCGCCGCAAGGGTGTGCACACCCGGGATCTAACTCCGCGCTACCGGCGAAACGTGGCCGAGGGGAGAAGAACCGCAAGGGGCTCAGCCGTCGCGAGGGGAAGGCCGCAAAAGGGGGGCGGCACTCGGAAACCATTCCGAACGTCAAGAGAGGGGCGGTCGCCTGTGTGAAGGGCAGGACCACAGCCGACACTGGCGGGGGTGGCACGGGGACTGGTTACCCCGGCGGCCCCCGGTCGGCATCGTGGCGCGAGCCCGCGACCTTTGCTGTGCCAGGTTCGGGGGAGGGAGGGAAATTCGGGGGAAGGGTGGACCGACCGACTGACCGACGCCCGAGCTTACCAAGAGCACTGACTGGACGGACGGACGGACGGACGGAGCCCAAACCCCCAAAAGACACCACCACACACCCACCGGACGTAGGACAGGGAGAAAAGAGCAGAGCGCTCAGCAAGGGACAGAAGGGGAAAGGAGCAGGGAGAGCGCCGCAACGGTGAGGGAGGGAAGAGATGCGGCCATGGGTGTCCCCCTACTGTTGTGGGCGTGGTCCCTCAGCCAACACGACCGCAAACAGGGGCCCCTCCTGCGCCACGCCCAGGGAGAGGACGCCCTGCGCCCTGAGAAAACGCGCGGCCCACGGCGCCAAACACCCGGCTCACAAAGCTGGGCTCGGCGCCGTCGCTCACCTCGTAGGCCCCGGTGACCCAGGCGGGGCTGACAAAGACTTTTGGGTTCGGCCTCCTCCCATAACCCCCGGGAGGGGGGGAGGGAAGAGGCCGGGGAGCCGTGCCGAGAGCCCCCCGTGGATGGGACGGAAGCCAGCAAGCCAGCAAGCCAGCCAGCGCGACCGAACGTCAAGAGAGGGGCGGTCGCCTGTGTGACCACAGGGCAGGACCACAAGCCGACACTGGCGGGGGTGGCACGGGGACTGGTTACCCCGGCGGCCCCCGGTCAGGCGGCATCGTGGCGCGAGCCCGCGACCTTTGCATGTTCCAGGTGCGGGGGGGAAGGGAAATTCGGGGGAAGGGTGGACCGACCGACGCCCGAGCTTGCCAAGAGCACTGACTGGACGGACGGAGCCCAAACCCCCAAAAGACACCACCCCACACCCCACCGGTAAGAAGAGGGAGAAAAGAGCAGAAGAGCAGCAGGGGAGAGCGCCGCAACGGTGAGGGAGGGAAGAGATGATGCTGCGGCCATGGGTGTCCCCCTACTGTTGTCGGCGCGGTCCCTCAGCCAACACGACCGCAAACAGGGGCCCCTCCTGCGCCACGCCCAGGGAGGGGACGCCCTCCGCACGCCCCACCACCCCCGCCCCGGTAAACGCCTCGCTCTCTCGCGGGTGGAGGGCGCGGAGCAACGGGCCCCCAGCCGCCAACCCCGCTGCACCGCCTCTTGCCCCGCCCGCCACGCTCGCCGGCCGGCCGGCCCCGAGGGCGGCCAGCTCCGGCCGGCTCCGGCCCCGGGGGGACCCGGGCGCGCCCGCCTCGCCGCGTTCCAGCCCAGCCCAGCACGCTCGGCAGGGGGTGGGGAGAGGGCCGCGCGTAGACTTGCCGCCGCCGCGGGGGCGAGGCCCAACCAGCTGGATGCAACCCCGCACCACCGCCCGCGCAAGGAAGGCCCCCGCCCGGCCCCGAGGGCGAGCTCGCCACAGCAGCCTTCGGCCGAAGGTGGTTCCCCCCTACAGTTGTCGGCGCGGGCCCTCAGCCCACACGACCGCGGGCAGGGGCCGCTCGGCCCGGGGGCCACGGAAGGCAGCCCCTCCGACGGCCCCGGCAGCCAGGCCCGAGCCAGCCCCTGCCCGAGGAAGACGAGGCAGACGGGGCAGACCGACAGGCAGGTCCAGCCACCGGCCCGAAGGGGAAAGGGGGAAAGGAAGCCCAAGCCGCCCAACCGGGGAATGGGCGGGCGCGAGCGGGCGGGCCGGCCCCGACGGCGGCCGCAGCAGCAGCAGCAGCAGCAGCAGCAGCAGCGGCGGCGGCGGCGGCTCGAGGCGGGGGTCGCCCCCCGCCGCCCGCACCCGCAGCCGAGGCAGTCCCCCTGTCGTTGTCGGCGCAGGCCCTCAGCCACACACGACCGCGCCCAGGACCCACGCCGCCGCCCTCGGCCCGAGAGGGCGCCAGGGGCCGATGGGGGGAAGCCCGAGCCAACCCCTGTTCTAAGGAAGACGAGGCAGGCAGGCAGGCAGGCAGGCAGGCAGGCAGGCAGGCAGGCCAAGCCAGGGCCCGCCGCCCTCGGCCCGAGAGGGCGTGGGGGCCGAAGGGGCAGGGAAAAGCCCAAGCCGTCCCCTGGCCAGCCAAGGAAGACGTGGCTGAACGGCCTCGCTGGGCAGGCCGCCCGCCCGCCAACCCCGCTCGCTCGCTCAGGCCAGGCGGCGGCACGGGGGAAAGGACCGAGCGGGAGACGCGCGGCCGCCGCCGCCGCCACACAGCTGGCCAAGGGCGGCGCTCGGCTCCGGCGGCCCGCGCTCCCACCCCCGCCCGCTCCGCCACCCGCGAACACCCGCACCCGACCGCCTCTCCCTACAGTTGGCGGCGCAGGCCCGCAGCCAACACGACCAGCGACAGGGCCTTCCATCCGTCCGGCAGGAGCGGGAGCCTGGCGGGCGCTCGGGGGGACCGCCCGCCCGCCCGCCAACCCCGCTCGCTCGCTCAGGCCAGGCGGCGGCACGGGGGAAAGGACCGAGCGGGAGACGCGCGGCCGCCGCCGCCGCCGCCACACAGCAGGCCAAGGGCGGCGCTCGGCTCCGGCGGCCCGCGCTCCCACCCCCGCCCGCTCCGCCCGCGAACACCCGCACCCGACCGCCTCTCCCTACAGTTGGCGGCGCAGGCCCGCAGCCAACACGACCAGCGACAGGGCCTTCCATCCGTCCGGCAGGAGCGGGAGCCTGGCGGGCGCTCGGGGGGACCGCCCGCCCGCCCGCCAACCCCGCTCGCTCGCTCAGGCCAGGCGGCGGCACGGGGGAAAGGACCGAGCGGGAGACGCGCGGCCGCCGCCGCCGCCACACAGCAGGCCAAGGGCGGCGCTCGGCTCCGGCGAGGGCGCGGCGCGGTCCCCCCGAGCGCCGCCAGGCTCCCGCTCCTGCCGGACGGATGGAAGGCCCTGTCGCTGGTCGTGTTGGCTGCGGGCCTGCGCCGCCAACTGTAGGGAGAGGCGGTCGGGTGCGGGTGTTCGCGGGTGGCGGAGCGGGCGGGGGTGGGAGCGCGGGCCGCCGGAGCCGAGCGCCGCCCTTGGCCTGCTGTGTGGCGGCGGCGGCGGCCGCGCGTCTCCCGCTCGGTCCTTTCCCCCGTGCCGCCGCCTGGCCTGAGCGAGCGAGCGGGGTTGGCGGGCGGGCGGGCGGTCCCCCCCGAGCGCCCGCCAGGCTCCCGCTCCTGCCGGACGGATGGAAGGCCCTGTCGCTGGTCGTGTTGGCTGCGGGCCTGCGCCGCCAACTGTAGGGAGAGGCGGTCGGGTGCGGGTGTTCGCGGGTGGCGGAGCGGGCGGGGGTGGGAGCGCGGGCCGCCGGAGCCGAGCGCCGCCCTTGGCCAGCTGTGTGGCGGCGGCGGCGGCGCGCGTCTCCCGCTCGGTCCTTTCCCCCGTGCCGCCGCCTGGCCTGAGCGAGCGAGCGGGGTTGGCGGGCGGGCGGCCTGCCCAGCGAGGCCGTTCAGCCACGTCTTCCTTGGCTGGCCAGGGGACGGCTTGGGCTTTTCCCTGCCCCTTCGGCCCCCACGCCCTCTCGGGCCGAGGGCGGCGGGCCCTGGCTTGGCCTGCCTGCCTGCCTGCCTGCCTGCCTGCCTGCCTGCCTCGTCTTCCTTAGAACAGGGGTTGGCTCGGGCTTCCCCCCATCGGCCCCTGGCGCCCTCTCGGGCCGAGGGCGGCGGCGTGGGTCCTGGGCGCGGTCGTGTGTGGCTGAGGGCCTGCGCCGACAACGACAGGGGACTGCCTCGGCTGCGGGTTGCGGGCGGCGGGGGGGCGACCCCCGCCTCGAGCCGCCGCCGCCGCCTGCTGCTGCTGCTGCTGCTGCTGCTGCTGCTGCTGCGGCCGCCGTCGGGGCCGGCCCGCCCGCTCGCGCCCGCCCATTCCCCGGTTGGGCGGCTTGGGCTTCCTTTCCCCCTTTCCCCTTCGGGCCGGTGGCTGGACCTGCCTGTCGGTCTGCCCCGTCTGCCTCGTCTTCCTCGGGCAGGGGCTGGCTCGGGCCTGGCTGCCGGGGCCGTCGGAGGGGCTGCCTTCCGTGGCCCCCGGGGCCGAGCGGCCCCTGCCCGCGGTCGTGTGGGCTGAGGGCCCGCGCCGACAACTGTAGGGGGGAACCACCTTCGGCCGAAGGCTGCTGTGGCGAGCTCGCCCTCGGGGCCGGGCGGGGGCCTTCCTTGCGCGGGCGGTGGTGCGGGGTTGCATCCAGCTGGTTGGGCCTCGCCCCCGCGGCGGCGGCAAGTCTACGCGCGGCCCTCTCCCCACCCCCTGCCGAGCGTGCTGGGCTGGGCTGGAACGCGGCGAGGCGGGCGCGGGTCCCGGGTCCCCCCGGGGCCGGAGCCGGCCGGAGCTGGCCGCCCTCGGGGCCGGCCGGCCGGCGAGCGTGGCGGGCGGGGCAAGAGGCGGTGCAGCGGGGTTGGCGGCTGGGGGCCCGTTGCTCCGCGCCCTCCACCCGCGAGAGAGCGAGGCGTTTACCGGGGCGGGGGTGGTGGGGCGTGCGGAGGGCGTCCCCTCCCTGGGCGTGGCGCAGGAGGGGCCCCTGTTTGCGGTCGTGTTGGCTGAGGGACCGCGCCGACAACAGTAGGGGGACACCCATGGCCGCAGCATCATCTCTTCCCTCCCTCACCGTTGCGGCGCTCTCCCCTGCTGCTCTTCTGCTCTTTTCTCCCTCTTCTTACGTCCGGTGGGTGTGGGGTGGTGTCTTTTGGGGGTTTGGGCTCCGTCCGTCCAGTCAGTGCTCTTGGCAAGCTCGGGCGTCGGTCGGTCCACCCTTCCCCCGAATTTCCCTTCCCCCCCGCACCTGGAACATGCAAAGGTCGCGGGCTCGCGCCACGATGCCGCCTGACCGGGGCCGCCGGGGTAACCAGTCCCCGTGCCAC